AGAAACTCACATTCGAAAGAAGAACATTGTGCCTGCATAGAAACAGTGTTATTTTCTACAGAAAGAGGGGTTTTTTTTGTACAGAAATAGTGTTACATGGAGAGATGGGCTTTTGCCCCTTGCCCATAGGGGATACAGAACATGAGGTTTTGAGGTGGATGGAAGGAAGGTGGAACGTTTTCTTTTCTTAACTGTGGTTTCTACCAAAGAAAAGTTGGCTTAAGAGATTGTTCTGGACGACAAATGAATCTGGTCTTTCTTCAAAAGATGCTATTGATTTCATGCTGTACGTGCTGATCTGACAAAATGTTCCCCAAGTAAATGCAATCTGAGCTCCCTGAGAGAGGCTTCTTAGAGAAATCAAATCAAACAGAAATGGGAGCTTGGGCAGTGCACGCATTCCACACTAATACTTTAGTCCTTGCTATATTTTAATATATCAGAAGGGGATGCTGAGCTGGGCAGTTAAACAAAGACCAACAAAAGACTTTTGAGCACAGCCAGAGGCATGACAGGTACTTGAAGGCTGCTCTCCCAGCTTCTCAGAGTCTACTTCTGCAGCCTTGCTTCTCCAGGGCACCTCCTGTGTTTCTCTTAAGGATATACAGCAAAGGTTATCTGGATTACTGCTTGTGCTGTGTTTTGCCAGCTCCAGGATTAACAGTTTTACCTGTGAGATCTTTGAAAGCTGCCAAGGTTCCTCCAGGAGCAGGTCTGGCCCACCCAGCCTGTGCAAGAGTTACCCTGGTTCGGTTTGTCTTGCTGTTTCAGTGTTTTTGGGTCTGCATAGCCCCATCCAGATTGTGAAGGGGCTGTGTCACGATGTATGAAGCTGGGGTTGGGACCTTGCCAAAGACAAGGGTTCTGCTGTGCAGGATCACAAAGGTGACAGTCCCTGCCCCACAGTTCACATGGGTGTTACCACTTCTTGTGGCCATGGTGCAGCATAGAGGGGACTTGCAATGGTACCAAAGAGCAGAAGTAACCCTCATTAACTAGGACACAGCACTGTTAAATTTATCCTGGCTTTTTATCTGATCTGTACACTCGGTTTAGCTCTCAGGCTGCACTGCTCTTGCCCATGGGACTTGGGGGTTGGCCTCCAGCCTTTGCAATAGGGCTCCAGCCTTTGGGCTCCAAAGCTCTTGAAGACTCCAGGACCAATATTGTTCTACCCGAGAGTTTGTTATAATCTCCTCCCTTTCAGAGTTAGTCTCTCCCCATCACAGCCATTCCAACATTCATGAGTGCCTTTGAGAACTCAGCTTTTCTGCTAAATGATAAGTCTTCTATTAGGCCATTAGGAAAGTTATTATAGCTCAAGTGCTCTGTCCTATTTGGATGAAAACTACTTAGATAAACAGCAATGAATTCCTCCTCCTCAAGCGATGGCCTCCCTGGGTGCTGGTACATGATGTGCCCTGGCGTATCCCATCTGCTGAATAAAGAGTGGGAAGATTAGGAGAACACAGCCCAGGGTACTCTTTGGAGAGGAGTGTTTGGAGAGAAGCTGGGGAAAACATCTAAGACTTGTGGAGAGGTGAAAGAAGCAATTGAAAACCTCTGAGGGGGCGAGACACAGAGAAGAGATGAAAAATGGTTTTGTCGGGAAGCCTCCAAGTTGGTCAGTTCAAAATGATTTTTTTTTTTTTTTTTATTCTGGTTTCTAGAGAAAACCCTTGGTAGCAGGGGGAAATGTTGTCCAGCAGTAGGAACATTCACTTCCTGGTAGCCTTAGAAACTGCATATTGCTTTAAAAAACACAATTAACCTTTCTTCATTAATGTGCACCTGAACAGCCTAATGTGTGCATCTTCTCCATCACGTTTCCTCTGGTTTCCCCCCAGGAGGTGAGATTCACCTCCTTCCCCAGGACTGTGGAGTTGCACCTTTGTTAAGGGGGAAATCTGTGGCTGCTGCACTGATGAGTAATTCCTGAAATCCCCCGGCATTAGTTGCCATCCCTATTATTGTGGCTACAGAAGAGCTATTTTGTATTTCAAGGATATCAGTGTGGGTGGTGTGGCCACATCCTCTTTTAAGCCACGCAGGAAGGGAGCAATTACTCCCGTGACTTTCAATCTACAGCGTGGCAAAGCTTTACGTGAAAAGGATTTTGCTGAAGTCACACCCAGGTTTACCAGGCTCTGGCCTGCTCCCAAATTATCCTTCCTTCCCAATGCTCAGTCATGCTGACTCCTGCCCATTTGATCCCCAGCACCGGCTTTTGACCCAAGCTGTGCAGATGATGGGGCAGCAAGTGAAGCTGTGCTGGAAGATGCAGGACCCACCACCCACCTGGGGGGAATGTGTGTCCTAATTCCCCCCAGGAAGAAGGCTCTGCTGTCCCTGCTCGTTGCAGGACTGCCTTTCCTTTGGGATGCTCTGTGCCTTGCAGGCTCCACGGTCTCTTCCCACTGGTCTGAGGTTTCCAGGTTTTCTCCTAATTAAGTTCGTGCCAGCTTAACTAAGTACAAGATTTGTAAATGGACTCAGCAAATTGGTGCCACATCCATTGTGAAAATGTAATTGCAGGTGATTTACATCAATTATTAGGTGAGAAACCTTGTCACCGCTGCATGACACTGTGCGTGTCCATGCAGCCAGGACTGTCCACCAGGAGATGTGGCTTGAATTCGGAAAGGCTCAATTACTAAAGCACTTTGGGCTAGTCTGTCTCTCTTAAAATCAGCACATCAATAAATCCTACGGCCTTTAGTCCAGTGCTGTCATGTCTCAGGGGACCCTGGTGAGAAGATCCAGCTTCAAAGGGGCAGTGTTGCAGGCATTCTGGTTTGTTAACTCTTCATTTCCAGATCTGGAACCCCCAAAATAACAGGCTCTAACAGAAGGTTTCTGCTTGGCTTTTTTTTTTTTTTTTTTTAAAATGATGTTCACACCTGGGAGGAGTTAGGAGCTCTCTGGCTGCTTTTAGCTTCCCCCTGCAGCAAGGGCAGAGGTTCCCCAGGTGTCCACAGGGACTTGGAGTGCAGCAGATGGCTCCTGCAGGAGCAGAGGAGGTGAGTAATGCCTCAGTCCACCCTTTTGGAGCTTTGGGTCCCTGTGTCTTTTGCACTGCCAATTGCCAGTGTAATGCCAAAGGATGGAAGTGCCTGGTGGGATGGATGGGCAGGGGGCAAGGAGTGTGCATGTGTGAGCTCAGTCCAGGTCCAATGCAGTAGTTGATGCCCTGGTGGCACTGATGACAACTGCCTTGGTGAGCTGGCAATGCCACAGCAACCGTGCCCAGCAACCAGCTTTCTTAATTGTTTTATAAAGCTGATTTTATTTTCTTCATCTTGGCTATCTGCTCTGCCTTCCAGGAGGGGCAGACATCAACATCAGCAGAGGTTGCGTGATAAAGAAAACCCAGCCTCAGAAAATTTTATTTAGTTAGTTTGTAGGAGTGCTATTTATCATTATTAATCTAACCCTGTTATCAGAAGACATTTGTGCAACCTCCTGAAAGTGCCTGACTGAGTGCAGTGTGCCACATATAAATAAATGCCATTGTAAATGTCGAGTCATACAAGAAGATAAAGTGGTTTCCTGGGCTCATTAGAGTTGAAAGCTGGGGTTTTATAGGAGGATGAAGAGAATTGCACAATGCAGTTCCATATGGCTTATGAAATGTGTATGAAAACCATTTTCTCCTACCCAGCCTAATTATGATATATAAATAGATTTACTATTTTCCTTTGAGCACTTACTTAGCTGGAATCTTTTTTTTTTTAAAAAGATCAGCATAATCACTTGTATGATGCATTTCTGTAGGCCCTTTGCAGATCTCTGAATCAAAATGCACATATTTATAGCAACAAAACGACCTTTCACTAATTGGGAAAGAAAATGTTGCACAATAGGTGACAGTTGTCATGAGTGCTCTGCACTGTCAGAAGTCATTTCGGCATTTGGCTTTAAACTGTAGCTGGGATAAGTGTTTAAATAACGTGCAATAAGATTTTAAGCTATGTGTATATAGGAAGTTTTGTGGGACCATGGGTGTGCTTATGGAAGGAGAAGGTTTGCACCACCCATGGCCAGGCAGCAGACTCAAACCAATGGTTTTCACCGACTGACTTGTATGAACAGGAGGAGACAACAGGGAGGGAGGAAGAGGGATGCCAGAGCAGTAAGGACGAGATGTATGTCAAATATATATCTTTTTATTATTCAACATCAAGACCATGGTAGTGCTTAGCAGCTGACGTTCTGGACCTTGTTACACCAGGTACCATAAACACAGTGCACACGACAGTCCTTGCTCCAGAGAGCACCCATACGTGGCACAGACTGAGGGTCCCTCTGCTTTTCCAGCTTGTCTGTAGTCCAGCAAGACCCCTCCCTGCCTGAAACCAGTGGGTGACATTCACCGGAGCAGGCTGGGAGGGGTGGAAGAATTGTCCCTTTGAAGGAGTACGTAGGACTACATACAGTGGCAGCGCAGGAAACAACAGACAGAGACAGAATAAATGAGTCACTTTTCTAGCATATTTGAATACTGTTTAAATATAAACATTGCAAATGAATATCTCTTAACTGAGAAAAAAATAAAATTGGATGCAAAAATACACCCATGGTATACTGCAGATGCATATAAATACATTACATGATTTGCACAGTCATTATGCGTCTTCCTTCCGGGCCGACTTTCTCCAGCCTGACACAGAAGTTGAAACAGAGAAAAACAGAAGGGAAAGGTCTTCAATTAAACACACTGTTGCTTCGGCGAGCCGTTCGCTTCCCAAAAAAACTGGGCTGGAAAATAAAACGTGGTTTCACAACAGACCCATTTGTGTTTCCACATCGTATCTACCTCGCAGCAAGAGGGGAAAGAGGGAGCAAGGAAAAAGCAACGAAGGCAGGATACTCCATGTGTTAGAGTGGCATTTGAGACCAGTTCCACCACTCCTTCAAAGCCTACGATGCTAACGGGGTCTGGCAAAGTCCTCTCCTTGACATATGCGGGTGATGCTAACGGGGTCTGGCAAAGTCCTCTCCTCAATAGATGATGGTGCTTAACCCACATCATCCTTTGCAATAGGTGGTTTGCCCCTAGCCCTCTGCTAGCAGGGTGCCACTCCAGCGTAGAGGCACTGGATGGGGTCACCACGGTGACTGGTGGCTGCTGGGGTGGCTGGTGGCTCCCACCTCATGGAGGTGAAGGAAGCTCACGCTGGCCCGGCTGGACCAATGCTGCGGGGACAGTCAGGGCTCCCCAGGGCCAGTTTGGAAACCCCAATGCCCCTGGGCAACGCTGTTGCATGGGGCACAGAGTGCAGCCAGGGCCACTCCAAGCTCCAGATCTGGGGGTGCTGCAGTGTGGAGGGATGGCAGGAGTCCTGCCATGGCTGAGAAACACCTCCTCCTGACCCAAAACCTGGTGCCCCCCTGGCCTGTCTCAGAGGAAGGCAGATGAGGTGCAAGCATGCTCCCACGGGACTTTTCCAACATCTCTAAATTTTGGCTCCGGTTTTTGGTTTCCTCCATTTCCTTAGAAGACAGAAAGCTACATAGGTGGTGACTGCTCGGTCTGGGCTAGCTGGGGAGTCAGTGACGTGGCCTTCACAGCACCCTGTGAGGTAGATGGAGGTCAGAGCACCAGGGCAGCGTCCAGGCAGAGAACGTGGTGGCACCAAGGAGACCTTGCTGCCTTGAGGAGCAGCCCTGGTCCTTGCAAGCACTGCTCCTCCCATGGGTGCCCCCTTTTCTTGGCTGGGCACAGATGATGGTGATTCCCATAGAGATGCTGGGCACTGGATGAGGACAAAGTACTTTCCGTAGGAAAAGGTGGCAGTGCGTGCTGTGCATTGCTCCAGGGGGTGGTCTCCATCCCTGGCTTAGCCCACAGTCCAGCACAAGGCGGGTGCCAAGGGGTGCCTTGGCCTAGGACACATTTATGTTGGAGAAGAGCGGGGCCCCGGGTGATGTGGATGCTGTGCTGTCTGCCAAGTAGCCCAGGATGCTTTTGACTTCACCACGTGACAAATTGGCTTTGATGTGCAGGAACGCTTCCAGGTGCCTTTTGCTGTGGAGAAGAAATGGGCAGGTGTTATCTCCTCCTGCAGATTTCCACTGCTGGGTCCTTTGCCAGAATGTGGCCTCCATCCTGTGGCAGCACTAAGGTCCCTGGTGGACATCAGTCAGCAGCTGGTGACTCTACACAGGACCCAGCACTTCCCTGGGAGGCTTGGGGTAGGGAATCAGAATCATAGAATGGTTTGGGTTGGAAGGGACCTTAAAGATCATCAAGTTCCAACCCCTCTGCCCTGGGCAGGGACACCTCCCACCAGACCAGGTTGCTCAAAGTCCCATCCAGCCTGGCCTTGAACCCCTCCAGGGATGGGGCATCCACAGCTTCTCTGGGCAACCTGTTCCAGTGTCTCACCACCCTCATAGTGAAAAATTTCTTCCTGATATCTCATCTAAATCTACCCTCTTCCAGTTTGAAGCCATTACCCCTTGTCCTATCACTACAAGCCCTTGTAAAAAGTCCCTCTCCAGCTTTCTTGCAGGCCCCCCTTCAGATACTGAAAGACTACTATGAAGTCTCCCTGGAGCCTTATCTTCTCCAGGCTGAACACCACCAACTCTCTCAGCCTGTCTTCACAGGAGAGATGCTCCAGCCCTCTGATCATCTTTTTGGCCCCAAGGCAAAGCAGAAAATCAAGCCAGAATTTGATATATATATAAATAGGCCTTTTAAAATAGTTTATTTTCTTGCCTGATGGCACTGGGATAGCCATACCCTGGCAGGCACCCCCCACCCATTTTCATAGACTCAGGCTATATAAACCTCACCCATACTCATATTTGACTATTTCCTGACTTAATTAAAATCCCATACGGGGATTTGCAAATCTGTTTCAGTGTCTCTTACCGGATATCCGGGTACGTCGTGGCGAATGTTGCAACTTCGATTTTAATCGCACCTAAATCCTGAAGCCGGATAATTTCAGCCAGTTTGGGGAGCGCCGAATTCAGCCAGGTGGCTTTAGACCCCTGCCAGAAGAGAGAGCGGTCAGTGGGGCATTGTGGGGGTGCAAACCTCCACCCAGCCCAGGAGCTGTGTTTCACCCCGAGCTGACTCCAGAGGCTGTTTCCTGCTGATGGGGAGGGACACGGCAGGGATTTTAAGTGCCTCATTGTTTTCAGTGACGTCTCCAGCCTGGGCCAGTCTTGGAGAAATTGGCTTAGTTTTGTGGTGGTTTTTAATCCTCTTACCCAAGGGCTGTAGGAGGTGCCACAAGGCTGAGGTTTCTGCACCCACCTCGTCAGACTCTCCCTGCTCTTCCCTCCCATGATGTTTTCCTTCCCTTGGGTTTCTACGCTGCCCGGTGGGTGTACGAGGTCTGATGGGCTCTGTACACAACCCTGCCTTTAGCTTCTCCAGGCACTGCCAAAATCCTCTCCCTGCCCACTCAGGTAAGAGACCCAACTGGACCTGTTTTCTGGCCATAGGATATCCCAAGGTGCTGGCTGCCTGACCTCCTGCCCGCACCAAGTGATGCTCGGGCTTGTTCCTTCTCCAGTCCAAGGGACATGGAGGGGTGGTCGAGGACAGGGCTTGGCTTAGCTATTATGCAGGCAAATGTAAAGGTGTGAAAGGAGGGAGGGGATCTCAGAGGACAGATAGGGATGTTTCAGCCATGTGGAAAAAGCAAGGGTCTCTGGTGGAGGAAAACCATGTGTACCAGAGACCCACCACTGCCCCTTCCAGCACCTGCTTGACCCAAAAGCAGCAGAGTGAGGGAAATCAAGAGACAAAACCCAGACTCCACACAAGTTGTACTGAAATGAGAGCAGTGCAGTATTTAGCTAAATCTTCTGATCCTATAAATATAAATCTTCAAAAGAAAACCACTGCCTACAGGACAAAGGAGGATGAAATCATGGCTCTCCACCCAGGGGAGGGCAGACTGGTGGCAGGGGAGCCTTCCTCCCTGCAAGCACCTCTTTCTGCCTAAGATTCTGCCTTCCAGGAAATTAAGCTGAGTTGGAAAGGTTAATGAGAGGCCCCAGAAAATGTATTTTCCTGTTTTTCAGTCTGCCCTGTGCTGTTGCAGACGCAGCGAGCGCTCACGTACATTGCTGGTGCAGAAGGCTTCCAGGTCAGCAGCATTCTTGGAGATGCTTTGGGCCAGGTTCTGCTGTTGTGCTGGAGTTTTCAGGCTGACTTTCCTCTTCAGCAGCCTCACGATGTACGCTTTAACCAAATACGCGTGGATCTTCTCGACGATAGCCTGTTGGGAAGGAGAGGGGGAGTCATCCATCTGTCTTTTGCTTGGGGACAAAACGAACCGTGCGTGTGGATGGAGGACAAAAACATTTTGGGTGTTGTGAAACATGCCCCACCAAATGCCTGCTGCTGCTCGCACGTGAGGAGCAGTGCTGGGTTGGGAACCAACCCCCCCATGTCTAGTTACGCTACATCCTAGATGCCGAGAACTTCTTTGTACTCAAACTAATGAGCTGTGGGAGTTTCCGAATGTGTTTTCCTTCTGGGAAGAGTCGAAGAAGGCATAGGAAAGATCTAATATATTTCAGAGAAGAAGCAGCAGTATTTCAGAGAAACAGGAATTCACGCTGCTCCTCCTGTTCCTCTCTCTAATACACAAACATCATAATTTTGTTTCAGCTACTCAAAAGACAAAGGCAGGAAATAAAAGATTTTTTTTTTTAATATGGCAATGTTTCATATATACTCCAGCACCACTGAAACTGTGGTTGTGGCTCAGTTGTCTGGGATTTGTCCCAGTTGCATCCGTCTCCTCCAGTCCTTAGGGCAATCAAAGGAGCCACGGGACACAAATGTGCCACTGCATCCCTGTTTCAAGGCTGTTCATCCAAACCCATACACAAATAAAGCCATATGTTGGGCGATCCCTAGAGCACTTTCTCTACAGCAAGAGTGGTTTTTTCTGCTAAGACTGCAGCAGAGCTACAGGAGTTTTCTTCTGCTGGAGAAGAGTAAGATCTATACGGCTGATGGAAATCCTGCCCAAGAGGGGTCCCCTATTCCAGGCCAGCTCGCCAGCTTAATGTGGGTCAGGGCAACTCGAGCTGCAGAGGATCAGAGCTGGTAGCACAGCCTCAGCTTTCCAGAACCCCTCTGATGTGTCTCTTTGACTTACTTGGTAGAAAGGGTCCTTCAAGGTCCGGAATTCTGAAACATGTTTGCTGGTGGTTTTAATGATCTCGTTCATAGTTTCATTGCTGGAGTCCCACTTATTTTCTGTAAACTTCTTATAAATTGGCTGAAAAAAAAGGAAAATGGGCTTAGTTCCCTCGAAACAAATTCTGTGCACACATGTATTTAACTTTCTATATGTACAGTATGCTACATAGTGACAATGAGGTGTGTGGTTTTGTGCAGGGACGTGTGACAATGACTTTACAGGGGCAGGGGAAGAGGGGGCTGTATTGTGTTTGTGCCCCCTTCTTGGTTCCTCATGATGAAGAAGACTGAGGGCTCGAAAGGCTCATACTGGAGATGCCTTTTTTTTTTATTTCTACGTTTTTAATGTTTTCTCCACACCATCTTGTCTGATTAGAGAATTAAGGCACTACCAGGGAAAGAAAAGGAATCATTCTGAGGCGTTTTCCCAGTTTTTCTTGGCCACAGTAAATAAAGATGAAAATGAAAAAAGAGCTTCTTCCTGCTCTGTCAGATGCCTTCCAAAGGGCCCGACAGAGAAAGCTGGAGAGCTTGTGGCTGAACATTTCTGACTCCTACGCCTTCCCCTTCCCCGCCACCACACTTGCTTAACTGAAAAAGCTTGTGTTATATATATATAAAAAAAAAAAAAGAAAGAAAGAAAGAAAGAAACCAGAAGTGTCTTTCAGGCCACCTTTATGAAGAAGCCAAACGCTGCATAATTGCAGCTCATGTCATTTGTGATTGCTTCATACAGCTTGGAGTGTAAACACTTACAGGCTGAGACTCTCCCTCCCACCACAGTTATCCTAGATGCGATCGGCACATTTCATGTTCATGGGCACAGTCATGCCTATGTGGCTGCACCTGTTTCACCTGCAGGCTTGAGGACCAGCACAAGCAGAGGTGATCCAGAGGTTTCTGAGTGATGCTGAGAAGTGACCTGACCTGCCCTAGTGATGCTGAGAGGTGACCTGACCTGCCCCACAGCCCTTCTCAACTTTGCTGCGTTTGAATCAGAGATTTAGGCAATCGAGAGCAGGGCAGGAGAACATGCCTGGCACTGGCACAGGCTGAGCCGTGGGGCAGGAGGCTGAGCTGTGGGGCAGGAGGCTGAGCCGTGGGGCAGAAGGTTGGGGGATGAGGATATGGTACCTTCAGCTGTGCAAACAGCGGTTGAAGCAGCACATCAAAGCCACTGTTTTCAATGTCCCCGAGAATGCTGAGGATACTGGCTTTATTGTCATCCTTTTCTGCCATGTTTTTCTCTGCATAGTCTCTGCAAGGAAATAATTGGCAAGGTCAGAATCATCTGTCCTCAGAAGAGATACACAGGGAGAAAGGCAGAGGTCTCCAAACCTTCCTCTGCCCACTCTGGAGCACCTCCCCTCTATCCTTCCTGCAGAGGAAGGAGCAAAGCCTTTTCTGCTGGGCCCTTACCTAAAATTCCAGCAGTTGTTAATGCTGGCAATCAGTATAGGCTTGTAGTAGCTGTGCTTCTTGCTTTTCTCCTTGAAGTCTTCGAAAGCATCCCTGTAGCTGGAAGGGAGATGGGAAGAGGAGAGGTGGGTGAGTGCCTGGGGGGGCTCTGCCAGCCCTGCTGCCCCACCAGCCCTGCTGCCCCCCAAGCCCTGCTGCCCCCCAAGCCCTGCCTTAGAGCACCTTCTCAGGAAGGCAGGCAGCTCCTTCCACAGCCGATGCGACAGCTCCTCTCCCACCGCCGTGCTGATGGCCTTGGCTCGCTCCTGGCCGCCGTAGATGCTCTAACAAACAAACAAGATGGTTTTTTTTAAACGCCGGCCGTTCCAAAAAAGGCTGAGTTTGCTGGTTAAAGAGGTTACAGAGCCCTCACTGCAGCAGCTGTGCCCAGCTGTTCTGCGTCCTCCCCTGGGACGGAGCCAGGCACCGTGCAGAGCAGCTACATCCATTTGGGAATTTTGAACTCCACTTTCAAATGGGAAGAGAGGCGAAGAAGAAAGAAGTATTAAAGAAAGCCTTTAAATTAGTTGAGGAAGTGGGGGAAGTGACGCTTGGGTTCTATTGATTTTTCGCTGTTTATCATAATGATTGCATTAAAAAAACCCAATGTAAGCACAACGACCTCAATATGTGAAGGGTTTATTTTTTATAAGGAAATTCTACTAATCCTCTGCTGCCAGAGGAGAGAGAGGGTCGAGCATGGGGAAAGGGCATGAGCACTCGGATCAGCTCTGCCAGCCTCCCCAGCAGCAGCTAAACCTGTCTCTCCTCTCTCTGTTGCTACACCATCCAGCCCCCAATGGCTTGACTTCAGCTGGGGGTGCAGAATAAAACACACGGAGAGAAACAAAAGCAGCTTTCCTGCTCGTTTTGCTGATAGAGGACCTCTTCTCCAGCAGCTGGTAGCCTGTGCCAGACCGTACGTTAGGGCTCCCATCTCTATTACTGCCCTACACAAGCCACTTGGCCTTTCACTTTCCTGAACTGACTGTACCTAGCCTTATCCCAAATATGTGCAGGATGCAACTGTTTATTTTTTAATATATATCTGTATTACCTGGATAACAATTATTGCTAGTAGCTCACTCTGAAAATGTCCATTTATTTTCTCTGGTTCTTGGTCTTCTTTCCATCTTTGGATTTCTTTAGATAAACATCTGCTCAGCGAATTTTTGACAGTCGCCTTTAGGGAAGGAAGGAAGAAAAACAGCATTTACCACAAAGTGGTAGCAGCAGCTCCTTGCCTGGTTCAGGTTTTACCTGCCCACCCACCATTAGTCTGGCTGAGCAGACTTTTTCCCTGGCTCTGCCTGAGGAATAAAGGCTCTTTGTTACGAGACGCCTCTGCCACCTCTTCAGGGCAGCAAGGACAACTCCCTCGCAGCACGGCTCTGTGCCACAGCAAGTTGAATCATTCGGGGTAGGGGTGAAGATGAAGATCTACATCCCTTCCCACCGCCCCGCTGCGTCAGCGGTGATCTCCAGGGCAGGGAGAGGAGCGGCGGGTGGGAAGGTGAGCCCAAATTTCCCCAGCCACGCATTGCCTGCCTCGCTGCTCCCCTCCAGGTTGGTTTTGCAATCCCTTTTCACGAGGGCTTCTGACGTCTGAGGTCTCTGTACGGTGGCTGGAGTCTATCTCCCATCACCCAGTGCCTTTTTCCTGAGCTTTGCAGCCCTCACACCCCCCTCTCCCATCTGCAAACCATCACGGGCTGCAGCTAAACCTGGAACTTGTCCTCTCATTTTCCAGGAATTCCAGCCCAACGTGCCAAAAAGCACTGAGCTCTGGGAGTACTGTAAAAGTTGCTTCTTGTTTCCATTAAGGCAAGAGCGATCCAAAAACCAGAGCAACTGTTATTTTCTGCAGCGCAGGCCGTCCTCCGTCAAAGAGACAGGCTTTTCAAGAGCAGACCCTCAAGGTTTTGCTCACCCTAGGTCCTGTATTGCTGCACAGCCCAGGAGTCATTCGGAATCCATCGCCTGCCAGAGGGAGCACAAACCCCTCTGGGGATGTAACAGATGACTGGAATGTTATCCATAAGGAACTGTCATTGGATTTTTTTTTCCCACCTCCCTACAACACAATTTGCGAGGACAGAGCAGCTCTTTTCTGAGGGCTCCCAGGGCTGAGCTAACCAGGAGTTTGCTCTGCAAATCCCATCTAAGGGAAAGCTGACCTGTCCCCCCAAAAAGAAACAAAAGCACTCTTGCTTCTGCTCCTCTCAGGACGGGTGTGTTACTCACAGCTCAGAAGTGTGGACACAGGACAAGTCAGAGCTCCTCCGAGGAGTCACAAAGGAGCAGCAAAGGGAAGAGGAGGGACTGAAGGGGTTCTCACCTCTTCACTGTCAAGGTATTTCTTTTCAAGCTCTTTGCTCAGACTTGACGGCAAAAGGCTTCCAAGTTTAACTTTTTCCAACTCCTCTGCTAGAGCTTGATCCTTTCTCATATCTCTGGAACGAAAAAGCCAAACAATCACATTTTCCAAGGGCAATGTAATTCAAGACAGCTGTCGATGCAAATCACTAACACTTTTTGAGGGGGTCAGTGAAAAAACAGATGGAAATGTACATTGTCCTTAGCCCAGGCAGGACTTGGAGGAGCTGAAGGTGTGCCAGGGGTGGGACCTGGGAGGGTGGGACACTGAGGAACCCCAGAGAACCCCCAGAACACGGGCTGTTTCTGATATGATGCTGGAAACTGAGGCCAGGCTGTTGTGCTGCAACCCTCCTCCTCTTCCTTGCTGTTCCACTCCTGAGAGAGGTGGTCTCTGAGCAGACACCTGGATCTGTCCTCTGGAAAGACCCCACAAAACAGCTGCTCCTGGCCAACAAAAACCAGCCCTGGTGCCAGGCTGAGCTGCTCTGGCTGAGCCCTGCTCCTCACTGCTACTGATTTCCAAAGACATGCTGGTTCAGGCCTGAATATCCTGACCCAGAGCACAGGACTGGCTCTGGAAGACTTCCAGGATCAACACTGACTCATTATACTCTGTCAAGAGAAACATGAGAAGGAAAAAGTGGAGGTGAAGGCTGAATGGCTTTAGAACAGCAGAAGAAACACTGCTGGTGTATTTACTGGTTTTCACCTAAGAAATGAGAGCCCTGGATTCCCCATCCAGTACTATAAACCACAACTAGGAATATTTCCAGTTCTATAGCATATATAGGGCTTGCGAGGGTGAAATGAGACCCTTGGCTGATGATGTTCTCTCACAAGGGCTCACCCTTTGGTCTCCTAACCCAGAGGCCAGCACACCTGTGGGTAACACCTAAGCAACATCCTCCATGCCCAGGATAATTGCATTTCAGGTTGTTGTATTTATTGCCTTCGCTCTGGTCCAGAGGGCTGAAATTTCCAAATTTTCCCAGAGTGAGTTCAGGTCTGCAACTGGAACAGAGATCAGGGCAATGAACCTGTCCAATTTAACCCATAAGTGAAGCCCTAAACATCTCTGTGCATTTATCTTGCTCAGAAACCTGAAGGATGGGGTGAGCCCTTGATTTACAGACTAGCAGCCTTGACCGTGTCCCTTCCGACTGTCCTGGCCAGCTGGTTACAGCAGCATGATACCTGTGACACCAAAACCTAACCAGATACCAGACTGCATGGCAGTGATACTGATGCATAAATCAAGCAAATGTCTTGTTTGCAGCCAGAGAACCTGTGCCAATCCCCAGAGATAAACATCTGTAAAAGCCTCACTTACTTTGGATAGAAGTTGTGCACCCACGACAGGAGGAGGTAAATATCCTTGTCTTCCAGGTGACACCCAGCAGCTTGATTTGCTTGGGAGGCAAAATAATTGTGGTAGAGTTCTGCATATGTGCTGAAGACATTAAACTCAGGGGGATAAAGCTGTTTAATGTACTTTACAACTACTGTCAAATCTTCTTTCATTGTCTTCCCCATGTGCAGGAGGTTCTGGCCAACTGCAGAGAGGTTCTCAGACCTAGGAGTACGGCTTGTGTCTTTCATTCGAGTCTCTACCGACTCCTTTACTGTAGCCATCCAAAGCTCTTTCCATTTTCTAGGTCTAAATTGCATGTTTTGGTCAGGTGGGTTCTCTGACAGGTAGTTCTGATCTTCTTTCTCCTGCTCTTTCAGTGCCTCTACTGCCTGCTGCAGCAGTTCTGGGTTTGTTTTCGCCAGCAGTATGGAGTCTTTCAAGATGCTGAAGACTTTGTGCTTCAGAATTTCGTAGATGGACTCAACCTCTTGCTGGCTGATGCTCACTCCCTCCTCACTTTTGGTAGACAGGCTCTTCTCCAGGACAATTAGATACTGAGCAGCATCACAAAGCTTGTTGTCTTCAAGGAGATCCATGACTTGTTTGACTGGCGAAAAAAGAACAGCCTTTCTTTACTCAATAGTGAAGATTTAAATTTTGGTTTGATATAAAAATAATGCCTCTGGAATACTTTATTAAAAATACGTTTGTATTTCTATAATGCTATATCTTAGGCTCCTTAACCATCTAGAAAACCTTCATATTTATTTAAAGGTTAGATTATTCCTAGCCTGCCTCTAACTGGGGCAATAGTAATTTGAAAACCCATCACTGGTGTGTTACATATGAACAGGTATTCATGTGCTACACATTATTTTTTTTTCCAAAATTTAGATTTGTGGGGATTTCTTTATTTATTTTTATTGTCCTTTCCATTAATATGACCTCAAGTAAGAAGCATGGCTTTAGAAAAAAATGTAAACGGAAAGAAGTAGCTAAATAAGACATGCTAGAGGAAATACCACATGGTTTTCCAGAAATAGGTTGGCACAATCTGACCTGTGAAATTTTTTTGGAGGACACATTTAGCAGGCAGGATAAAAACAATTGAACTATCCTATCTCAACTACAACCAATTGCTCAATCCAATGCAATCCAGGAAATTATTAGTTAAACTGGACAAGTTGTAACCCAAAATAAGTTTTGTTAGGTGTGTAAGGTTTGTATGGAAAACCCTGGGTGGAGAAAGCTTACATTACTCAAGAAACCCACCTCTACTTCATATTATCTTTAGAGATCGTGGCACAAAAGCTGAGAGTGCCCTGTTGGCATCTGCTGATTACACAAGGTTCAGAGACATTATCGAAACTGAGGGCTTGGTGTATTATATAGGAACAACAGAATACCTTGAATAGCAAATGGGCTGAAATTTAATAGCAGAAAGTATAAGATACAAATTCAACAGAACAAAAGTTACTTAGCAACAAACAGGATTTTCTGCTGCAAGCTGGATGTGAATCAGCCTGAGATGGAGCAGGAAGAGAGATGCCTGGAGAATTAGTAAATCATTACTGTGAGATGGTGGCAAAAAAGTCAGATATGACCCCAGGATATGACCAGTGAGGAATGTCCAGCTGAGATAGGAAAATGGTAACATATTGTACCAGGCATTGGTGGTATCTCATTTGGAATAATTTTTGCAATTCTGGTTGCTTTCTTTCAAAAAAAGACATTGGGAATGGGGCGATGCAGCAGTAAGAACGAATGCATGAAGTGTCTGTCTTCAGCAGACTTGGTTCATTTAGCTGAGCAAATTCAAGGCTGAGAAGGAAAACCACCACTTAGGGAAAACATTTGACACACGTGGAAAGAGAAGTCAATTAGCCAGGTAAAGACTTGCCGGGAAATGAGATAATTTGTGCTAAAACGGTGCGACTGTGGAAGAGCTCTCCAGTAAAGGAGGTAGGACTGGAAAATTGAAACTTATTTTAAGGTACAGCTTGCAAGTTCATGAACTGGGTAATGAGATATGTCACCTTAGGTAGCAGGTGAGCCTTGGAAGTGCCAAGGGGCACTTTCTTCTACAGTTCTGTTTTCCTCTAAGCAGGCATTTTCCTGCCTCTCTAAGCACCCTGCAGGGACGGTGTCCGTGACTGGAGGAGCTGTATGTTCAGATATTAGCCCCAGGAAAGACCTATGTGTGCTGCTCACTGCTGTTCACGAGAGAAGAGGGGATTTCACAGAGTGGTGGTTTCACGGAGGAACAGAGCAGAGAGGTATGTCTTGGTTTCTCACCAACCCATGGATCTCTGTGTCCCCATGGGAGGTAGAAATAAGCTTCATTTTAGACAGAAAACCTGCAAACTGGCAGTTTCTCAAGCTGTGTGCCCTTGGAACCAACGCACCAGGACTCAAGATCATGCCCTCCTCAGCCCTGGTTTCCCCATGGATAATTTGTCAGTGCTCTTGTTTCTCAGAGGGACAACTCTCCACCTCATGCAGCCCCTCTAGAGATAACTATGGTCTATGAAGTGATGCAAGGAGGATGGAGAAGCACTTACCACTGGGTGGCTTGGTCTTTTTAATCTTCTTAAATGCACCCGTAAGGATTCCCTTTATTCCTTTCTTCCCCTTTTCAGGGCTGTCCCCAGCAAAGGTGCAGCTCCCATTGCTCGTGATGGAAGATGCACGTGAAGGTCTGCCGGATGCCTCTGGCCTTTCACTCATCTTCTCCTGGTCTCTGGACCAAATCTCGTCTCCAGAAGGTCCAGGACTGGCAGAGACGACTTCAGCTACCGATGTTGAAGGGTTTCCAAGCTGTCTGTTTACACCAATGCAACCCTCTGATCCATTGCGTATTCCAATAGGACCACTTTGGAAAAAAGGCAACATTTTCATCATTTTCCTTCTAGCCTGTAAATTTCAGAAAGAACTGGTCAGATTATAACAGTTTGCATAAAAATTACCATGGCACAATGTGGCAAGGTGTAATAGTAATTCTGTAATGAGTTGTCCCTGTGCGGGGAGTGCTACACACATCTGGTATGAGCACAGCTCTGCAGGAGAGCTCCCGAGCAACATCACCTCAGGTAACTGAGAGGATGGAAGCAGCTCTAGGGTCTAATAAATAACTCAGAGAAGATCAATGAGTGATTTTATGGGTGATTCAGATGGCCTGGTTTGAGACCTTGAGCCTGTCTGGGCACAGGAGAGCAGCATCCTGTGGGAGTATGGACATGAGTGTGGATATGGGTGGGGTGGGACAAGCGTCTTGTGCCTATTCAAAACAACCGTGAAGCTCCCATATTTTTATAAGGCATTGGGATCAATTCCAACCTTCCTTAGGGCCTATTTTTGCTGATCTCTGTTCATTTGGTTGCAGATGTGTTTGTGGAAGCCCCCATGTAGCTACTTGCAAGTACAGCATGAAAATGAGACGAGTCTACCATGCCAGGTACACAGCAACCTTTGCTGAACAGAAGTTCTGCTGGTTTAACTGTGTCCCCACTGCAGTCAGAACTAAAATTCTTAGCTTTATGGAGGAGAGCTTCCAGAGAAGGCGGCTCAGAGCTCAGAAACACCAGGACTGTGAAAACCGTGGTTGAAAGGATGGGAATGTGGGAAGCACAGCAGCATCTCCTGATGTGAACATCACAAGACTTATCATTTTAGGCCCCAAAACCTCAGTCTGAAGCATGGCTTCAATGCTCTGTGTGCTGCTCACGTCCCTACAGCGGCAGACACAAGCTCAAGGACACATTCAGACCCTTCAAACCCACCCATAGTCTACATAATCTTCTTTTCTATACGGTCCCAGGGTGACTACAGCATCCCCGAACAAGGCAACTTCAGTGCAGCTCGTTGCACCTTCAGTGTAACTTGTTGGGTGTTTTCCAATACCTGGGAGCAGTCGTTGTCTGATCTTTTTTATACTGGAATGTAGGGCTGTAGTGCAGGACGTGGCTTGTGGAGAAAGAAATTCTAGTGAAATGGGGTGGTGGAGGGGGCAAGGTTCTGAGAGCAGGGACTAACCAGACTGGGATTTTCCCAGGGCTGGTAAATGGAACCAGTGCTCATGACCAGGGCTGGTGCCCATCCAGGGCAGTCCTCGCCTGGCTGAGGAGGAAATATGAGCAAGGCACCAGGATCAGGGTGGTTTAGCCTTGTTCAGACACTGCCCTGCCACACTCCTGCTCCATCACCAGCCCTCCCGTGCTACACACACTTCACGATGGAAATTTGTTACTAGACAACACATTTTAAAATTTGTATTTAGAATTATTTGTTTACATGTATCATTTAATGTATTGCTATAGATCTATTTGCATAATTATAATCATTTCTCTAATGATTATAATTACAGTAAGTGACTCATAGCTGCCAGTCCTTGTGCTAACAATGTGTTTTCTAAGTTACTATCTGGGACACCAGTGCACTTCTGTAGGAAGATCTGTGAAGCAAGTTCTGACTTATACCACGTTACGTGGAGGGGAGTTATGCTGTAAATAAAGGAAGAATTTGACTTCAGTTACATGGTCATAATGTGGTGATCTTCAAACACCCTTGTTAAGTTTATGCTGTTGATGTGTATCATGCTGATACAAACCGCGATACTTATTTCCGGGCAAACTGCTTGGAAGACTGTGGCTTTTAATTTTAATTTTAATTGTGATTCCTCCTGCTGACTCCCGGCAGCTTGGGGAGCTTTAAAGCATCAAGTTAGTGGTAGCAGCCGGGTGGTACAGAGAGCACTGAGAGCCTGGCATCGCTGAAAAGCTTTCCTTCTCCGTGCTTTGGCTGCCAGGTCACATTCAGGATTAGCAGTGCTATTGCTTTTAAAACACAATGAAGATGAAAAATCATTTGGGAAGGAGGGAAAGGGGTGTGGGTGGATGGGATCTGGCTGGCTCTCAGCTAGACGGGTGGGCTGTGACCTGAGGCAAAGGCTGAAGCTAAACCAAAGGTGCTGCTGCGGCTGAGAAGGACGGTGGTGGCTGCCAAGAGGTGTGGGGTGGGAGTCCTCGTGCCCCAGGGCTGGGGGCCAGTTGTGTGGGCAAGCAAAGGGGGCCCAAGCACCAGAGCTGCCCAGCAGTGGGGAGTCACAGCTGGAGTTTCACAGCTACCTCTTCCCCAGCAGGCTTACTTGGGAGGGAGGAAAAATCCCTGCGGTTCACTCTGGCTACTCTAGTCAGGATGCCCTACTAAAATCCTAAAAACAGTGGAAAAGAGCTCCTTTTCCTTACATCTCCATTAAAAAAAATGTGTGAGGTGTGTGAGAGACCCCAGCAAAGGAGGTGGGACTCTGGCGCCTTCCTGAGCTGATGGGCAGAACTGGTTGATTGGAGAGGGAAATGCATGTATCAGCATCTTCGAGGCTCCCAATCATCTTAAAATTTTGCTTCCAATACATGCTTCTTATGTTTGTCTTTTATTATTTAACATGTTCAAAGCAAATGAGTCACATAAGAGCCAGGGCCCCATTGTCCTAATTCCCCAAGAGACCCAATAGCCACCCTGAAGGAATTGTCCTGTCATGAAGAGCTATTAAGGAAAGAATGTGGTAACAGCAGCGTTAAATTACCAGATGAGTAGTATAAATATTCTCCTGCTTTTTCTCAGGGATTTTGAAAAATTTTATGTATACAAATTCATTCATCAGAAAGGTGTCTGTATTGTTTTCTCTTTTTCTTAAATCTCCAAAAAAAAAAAAAAAAAAAAAAAAGTATCACAGCAACCAGGATTCTCTGTAACTGTTTGGGACTTTCCTAATTTTTGTCGGGCTATTTTCCTAGCCTGCATTTCCCAGTACAAAGCTGTGTTTAGATTCATTCTGCCAAGTCCCTTTCTTCCTGTTTGTTCGAACACAGACTCAGCTGAGTCCTTTCTCTCTCTTCCATTATTCCAAACAAAGCATTTATTGTTCTGTTTATTTTTGGTGTTTATTTCTAAACACAGAAAGTACCTCTCCCTTTTCTATAGCCAAAGGTGACTTTCAGGGTCTTTTGTTTTGATGAATCATGATCAGAGAAGTGGATTTTGAAATGGTTTTGCTTCTCCCTCAATTCTAAGATGAACGTCATTCATCTTTGAAAAATCATTGAAATGACACTATACATGAAAGAACCAGTGAGGGGAAGATTAAGCTGATTAAAGGCTTAGTTTTTAACAGCTGTCAGAACTTTGTCCTGGTTATGCTCTGAAAGGGCTGGGTGTGGGGGCTGGCGATGCCCAGGGAGAAAAGGTCTCTGGGCATGTGCTACCAGGGGCTGCAGCCTGGGCAAAGCCCCCATGGTCCCTTCACAGAGAGCATCGAGCCTCCATCTGCAGCATCTCTATGCTCTGACCTGCCTAAAACAGTCCCACGCCCAGAAAAGAAGAAGGATAAAATCAGCTCCAGTGGTTTTATTTTTCCCCAGGGGCTGCACATCAGCAGTGTGAGAACTGTGAGTGATACTGGAGGGTGATTTTTCATCTTCCACTAATGAAGACAGGAGTCAGGCATCTGAGTAAAGGCTGACAATGCAAAGGCTGCCAAGCTCACTCATGTCTGGTCAGCTTGAACTCTTGCCCAGCACTTATCAGCTTGCCACTGCCTGGTTTGCATAGGTTTGTATCTGCAGCAGGAACTACCAAGTAAACCCCAGCTCCCCAGTCCTGCCTCGATCCGCAGCCTCAGTCACTTACGGCCAGAGGTACCAAAAACTTCCTCTCCACCTCACCTCTTTATCACTCAGTGGCCGAGCACTTTCTCTAAGAAACGCCTAGAAGAAATTTCCTCATAGAAAAAAATCCCACTTTCTACAAGAAACACTGAGCTAACCCGTGGCACCAGTTACGGCAGGTCACGGGCAGGAGATGCTCCTTGTGGCCCCCCCCAGCACCCACTGCAGCAGAGAGGACCTGCCAGGAGCTCTGTCCTGGCTCGGATGGCCAGGGGCTGCTCCTGTACGCCTGTATTCTGCTCACAAATCAAAGCTTGTTAAAACTCCAGCAGGCTCCTAATTATTTTAGCAGTTAACACTTTGGGAAATGCTGAATCATTTCCCAGGCATGGAGCTCGAATACAAGTCTCGGGAAATTTAATGATTTAAGGTCAAGACTCGACATAAATCCCAACTCATTACTATTACTAATTTACTCTTGATTTACTGTTACCATCATCACCATCCTCGTTATTATTATAGGGCACTACAGTCTTTAGCTCCAATTATTTTTGACATAGTGTATTCAGCTTACAGTTCCCAACTGTAGCTGTACAGTTCCCAACCAGAAGAGCAGGACAGCTCGTGTAGCATCCTCTGCTGCCCTACACAGAGGCCCTGTACCACCAGAGAGGGACCCATGGAGCTCTCTGCATGGTGCCAACCACAGCACATACCCCCCAGCCTGGAGCCTTTCTGGGGTGGGCAGGAAGGGCGAGGGAAACACCTGGAGCAGAGCCACCACACAGAAGGACAAAACTTGGACTCCGGGCATGGTGGTGGCTTCCTGTTTTCTCATTTCCCTCCTCAAAGGAAACAGCCCTCATGCCACACGCTTGGGAATGAGCTCATTCACGAGGGCGGCTCATGGCCTGCCAGAGAGCACTCAGGCGAGGATTTACTGATCACCCCGATTCTGAAACTTTTTGCTGATCTTTTTCTTCAGCTGCTTCCAGTATTAACAAGCGTTTGTTTGGATTTTTAGTCCTCTCCAGCCTGCTGACATCCACAAGGATTTGTGTCTCGTTTTAGTGGAAATTCCCCTCTCTCCAACAGCCTCTCAGAAAGCCAAAAGTTATTTAGCAAAGTTTGTTCTCTGTGTCTGTCTCAGCCTTTTCCCAGTCCTCATGGAAATGTGGTCACCCCATCCCACATGGGAAAGTTGCACAAGGTCAAACCATCTTTGGAAGCAGGGAAGCAATGCAGCCAGTCTGAGTTTAGGGACGATGCGGTGCCACCTAAATAAACTGCTAATAAGTCAAAGCAAAGAGTCTACTGAGATGCCAGCCCCAATCTTTGTATGTTGGGAAGCCCTCCTAGGAGGTGGGCTTGTTCCTACCAATTTTTGTTAGCTGGATTGGGGACTGAATGGAGACACTGTGAAGCTGGGGGCTCCCGTGTGGTTCTGCCTGGGAAATCATGGTCCGCAGGTGAGCTGGGTCACCAACAGTCCCAACTTGAAGTTGTACTGTGCAGGTCCAATCCATGCTCCCGTTCCCAGACTCCTATGGGACACCCACCACCTCATGTGGTCCAGCACCACCCTGGTGGTGGCCAAGCTCTGCTCCTAATGGGGTCAAAAGCTGAGGGGAAACAAAACCTATGTCTCAAGTAAAGAAGTGAAGGCAGGAGCAGAGCATTCCCAGGGGACCTGATGCATGTACCTTAGCAGTGCCAGGCACCCCCATGGGTTTGGGGGTGACAGAGGACCCAAAAGACTTATTGGAATGGCAGTAGCAGACCACACAGAAGATTCCAGGGCACCTCACCTGGCGTGAGATGCTTTAAACCAGCATTAAACCATGCTATCACCTGTCTGGAGAACAGCATAGATATTGCTACACAATGCTGCTTTTCACTTTTAAATGAGAACTGGGTTTCCCTAAATTACTGAAGCACAACTGAAAATGGTCCTGTAAACCAGCATCTCCTGTTGTTAGTGAGAATTTTTCAAACAGCAAAAGAGGAGAAAATTACACATGTATACTGTTATTGGGAAAAAGCAGAAAATTTGTACTGTAATAAGCTCTTTTTTCTTCTTGCTTCAAATCTGGGTAGTATCATTTTAAACGGCTGCTGCTGAAAGAAAAAACAGCTGCTGCTGTCTAGGATTTTGTTTTCCTGCTACTATTCCCACAGCCAAATCCTGCATTCAGGCTTGGAGTTTGCAAAGTTCACTGCTAGAGCTAACGTCGACTGAGAAGATACAGAAATTCGCCAGGACCCAGATCTAGAGCTCCTGGAGTGCTCGCCTCTGCTGGCACTTTCAGACCCTTTGGCTTCCCAGGCCTCTTTTTACAGAGAGGGTGACTGAAGCAGACCCAAATCTGAGTTTTCCAAAGTGCTCTGCTCCTGTTTGATCAGCTCAATCGGAACCGGCAAAACTCAAAATCCCTCGGCAGGGGCAGGCAGTTGAACAGTATCATAGATTGGTTAGAGTTAGAAGGGACCTTAAAGATCATCAAGTTCCAACTCCCTGCCCTGGGCAGGGACACCTCCCACCAGAGCAGGTTGCTCAAAGCCCCATCCAGCCTGGCCTTGAACACCTCCAGGGATGAGGCATCCACAACTTCTCTGGGCAACCTGTTTCTTCAGCTTTTCTGTTCCGAATTCGGGTGTGACAGTGACAGACCATGGCTTCTAGATCAGCCATATGCTCCAGTCACTTTGCAGCAGCCTCAAAAAGAAGTCCTCTATTAAACACACTGAGGATCCTAACCCTGAGGTTGAACCCTTCTATTTGTGCCCAATTACTTGACACAGACGATATTAGGCAGCTGCCCAAGAATAGGAGTGAATTTTAGAATCATAGAATCATCTAGGTTGGAAGGGACCTCCCAGATCATCTAGTCCAACCATCCACCTAACTCCGACAAAAAATACCACCATCACTAAACCATGTCCCCCAGCACCATGTCAACCCGTCTTTTGAACACCTCCAAGGATGGTGCCTCAACCACTTCCCCTGGCAGCCCATGCCAATGCTTGATAACCCTTTCAGGGTAAAAATTTTTCCATATATCCAACCTGAACCCCCTTGGCACTTCAGCACTCTGGGAAAAGGCTGGTCCTAGAGGCACTGGTACTTCCCTGACCGGGAAAAAAATGTCACAAAATGGCAAGCATGGCAATAGAGAAATGTGCCAGCTTGGCACAGTGACCCCAGCAGGGTGCAGGGTACAGAGGGTCCCTGGGACCGTACAGGATCCAGGCACTGAAATGGTGTTTTTCCAGCACAGCCAGGCTGAGTGAATCATAATTCAATTACTTCCCTGTGTTTTGGGAAAAAACCACTTCCTACTGAAGAGAGAGAGGAAGGAGGGGGCAGGAAGTGCCACGCTGAATCTGGATCCCGGTGCCTCATCTGGCTTTAGGATGCTTTGGTGCCCAAGACCTACATCTGCATTTTGGGGAAGGGGTTGAGGAGGCAGGTAACAGGAGTCACTGCTCACAGCCTGTGTGCCTGCCCTGCAATTTGGGAGACGAGCAACAGCAATTAGACCCAGCTGTCACAATGTGATTGCCGGGCACATAATGCTGCCGTCCCCAGCCCTGGGATGGGGCTGGAGCTGCTTTCCTTGCCAGCAGTCCCATTTATTATCTATTCTGCTCGTTACAAAGCAGGGCTGAAACCTGTCGCTTTCTCCGGGAATCCATCCTTTAGCACTTTTCCCTTAATTTCCCCCCCCAATCTCTCCCCAGACACAGCAGGGAGCCTTCCTCCCTTCCCTCCCCGAGTGAGCCGGGAGGGGAGGAAGAGGAGAGGAAGAGGCGCGGGAGAGAGACACCGGGAAGGAGAAAGCCCCCTTTTTCCCCCGAGCTATGCAGAAAGGAGAGGGGGGGGGCACACGAAGGACTTACTCTGCGGCGGGCGGGTGAGCGGGCTGCGGGGCTGACGGGGCTCGGTGCGCGGCGGCGGCGCTGGGTGCGGAGCCCCGGGGCAGCCCGGCTATAAAGGGAGGGCGGGGAGGCGGGGACCCGGCCACGCAAGGGAGCCCCGCTGGCTGGGAAACTCCGGCTGCGCCTCCCCTCCCAAAATGGGCTCCAGCCAAAGGGAAGAGAGAAATCCCCTCCGGCGGGGAAGTGGTCCCCCGTGGGGTCGGGGGGGGGCTGGTCCCCGGTGGTGGTGTCTGCCCCAAATTGGTCCCTGGCAGAGAAACTAAGCCCCAAGCATCATAGAATCATCTAGGCTGGAAGGGACCTTCCAGATCATCTAGTCCAACCATCAACCTAACTCTGACAAAAAAACCCACCATCACTAAACCATGTCCCCCAGCACCATGTCAACCCGTCTTTTGAACACCTCCAGGGATGGTGCCTCAATCACTTCCCTGGGCAGCCCCTTCCAATGTCTGATAGCCCTTTTCATGTAAAATTTTTTCCTAATATCCAGCCTGAACCTCCCCTGGAGCAACTTGAGGCCATTTTCTCTTGTCCTGTCACCTGTGACTTGGGAGAAGAGACTGACCCCCCCTCTCTACACCCTCCTTTCAGGGAGTTGTAGAGAGTGATAAGGTCTCCCCTCAGCCTCCTGTTCTCCAGACTGAACACCCCCAGCTCCCTCAGTCTCTCCTCATAAGACTTGTGCTCCAGACCCCTCACCATCTTTGTTGCTCTTCTCTGGACCCGCTCCAGCACCTCAATGTCTTTTTTTGTGGTGAGGGGCCCAAAACTGGACACAGTACTCGAGGTGAGGCCTCACCAGTGCCGAGTACAAGGGGACAATCACCTCTCAAGTCCTACTCACCACACTGTTCCTGATACAGGCTAAGATACTGGTGGCCTTCTTGGCCACCTGGGCACACTGCTGGCTCATGTTAAGCCGACAGTCGACCAACACCCCCAGATCCTTTTCTGCCAGGCAGCTCTCCAGCATCACATCCTTATGGACTGCTGATGGGGCACTCTGGCCTCACTGCCCAAGGGGTTTGGATATATGATGTGTCTGTCCCCCATGGCAGCCTTGGAAACCCACCCTTAGGGATGGAGCAGACGTCTCCAAACACTGCGCTCCCTGAGCAGGGCATTGCCACGGGTGGGCTGACAGGGATGAGGCATGTGCCTGAAAGCACAGCCTGCTGTATTGGGGTCCTACATCGTGTCCAGGGTGAAGTGCTTCCCCCAGAGTGGGGTTCACAGCACTTCCAGGAGACAGTAAGCATCAAGCACCTTCAGTATGATGGTTTGAGACCCTGCCTAGGGACTGAGACACATGGGCTTCCTTCCTCACCCCAAAGCCTCTGAACCTTGAAGAAGGGACATTTGTCTTTTTGATTTCCTAGACACTTACATCCCTGGCCGGGGAGGTGTGGTGAGCCTGTTACACTGGGGAAACATGTGCTGCCATGGCACAAGATGCCTGGAGGATGGGCAGGGGACTGCTGGGTGACAGTAAGGGCTGTGGGGGACTATAGCAGAGGGTCCGTGAAGGCTGTGCTGTCCCCTGTGTAGACAGCCTTAACGTGGAGCATCTTCTGTATCCACATGGGTGAGACCGAGGCTGAAGCAGTGACCCTACAGACAGAAAATCAAAGTATTGTGGTCCTGCAGAGCCTGACCTTCTTTCTCCTTTCCTGGGAAGGTCTTGTGGGCAAGAAGGAGTCATCCAGCAGGTGCCAGTGCCTGGTTACTGTGCCCGGGACAATTTCTGCTTTATATCTGAGAGCTGTGATCTAATACAAAATGCAAAAAAAGCAGTCCTGAGACTTAAAACTGAGTGTAAACCGTGAGCTTTCCTGGTGCTGTTGATGCTGCACGACTTTGTGGGGGGCTATGCAGACCCAGCACGGGGACATCCCTCAGCAGCCAACATGCTCTGGGGCCATGGCTTGTGCTGGCTGAATGGTCTTGGTGCTGGAAAGGTGATGCTTCTCCCAGTCTGTGCCTTTTGGCAGGCATCCTGCCTGCCGGGGCTGCCGCTTTCCTGTCTGGGACTCTTTCCCCAAAAAGACCGTGGTAGCAGGAAAAAAAGTCCTCCCACCCAACAATGTCTGCCAAAACAGGAAGCAGAAGCGGAGGGGCCACCCCAATGGGCAAACCCATGATCTCTGGTCTCTGGAAAACACTGATTCATCTCAGGCCAGCCCACAGCTGAGCTGGGCGGAGGGTGCCCCTCTGAGATTACCCTGGGGTTGGGTCCCCCCCTTGACAACCGGTGGCAAGAAACAATCACCATCATGGGACAGAAATCCCGGGTACCACGTGGTCTGAAAATCATTGGAAACGTGAAACGGTGTGAGATTTGGCCCTGAAGTGCAGTAACTTTCTCTGTGCTTCATCGTTCTTGTATAAATGTCTGTACAGAATGATTTTTGTGGGATCCAGAGTAGATTCGCATAGTGGGATCTTTAGCTTCTGTGAGTTAATTCAGTGGTTTCAGGGCAATTCCTCCATCAGACAGGGGATGGAGAAGCATCATGTAATTGGGCCTTAAACTAAAAACCTAGAGGTTAGTTGTCATCCTTCAGGTGCCCTGAAACAAACCTGTCACTACTCTTGGACCTCCTGGTGGTCATGGCATTGCTTGTCTACGTAGCCTGATTTCTGAGACAGGCACCTTGTATTTCCTTACATGATATTGGTCAGTAGCTGACCAAGTTATACCAGGCTGCACTTCTTCTAGTGCTGCACAGGAATTTTTCTGTGCTCTGTAACTGCTCAGGGTGTATTTCATAGGGCTGCACTGACATTCTGTGTTTATGCTGTCTAAGAAGCTATCTTAACTAGCTATATAGCTAGTTAGATAGCTATGCTATCTAAGAAGCTGTGATTTTGAGAAATCTGGGGTTTTACACTTAACTTCCATAAGCAACTTCTCGGCTGCAACCTACACTTAAAAGCAAAAGGTACTTCAGGGATTTACAACTTAATTTTGCAGATGCTTCCTTAAATCTGAACAGTGAACCTGCGTGGGATCGTTCACCTCTTCTATATCGAGCATCAAAGACTTTCTAACTAGCAGTCCTTATATCCAAATTTTGCTAAGCAGGAGCCTTTAAGAGAGATGTGTCTCTATGGAAAAAAAAAAAGAAAAAGTTGTGAATCCTTTGCACTAGACAATGAAAGATTTTTCTTACCTCTAAAAATGCAGAGACAATAACAAGAGGTGTTGATAAGAAGAGTTTTGAAGCCCAGTTTTAATCTGCTCTTTCAGCATGCCGAAGAGCTGTTATCCTTTGTTGTCAGCTGAAGGTGTGTCAAAGAAGGAGATTGTTACGGTGGTAAAGGTTTCTCTTCCTGGAATCCATTAGTTCAATATGCTTATTCATTGAATGGTATTTGAGATTTTTATTCAAGCTTGTTTTAATCACCTTTATTACCAGAACAGGGGAACTATTAGTTTTCCTGTGGGATTTTCCATGAGCTTAACTCATTTGTCCTAAGTAATTCCAGCTGTGCATGCTTCAGTGATAGAAAAGCAGCAGGTCTGGGTGCAGGTGGCTGGCAGCAGTCCTCTGGGTCAGTGAGTACCACCTTGTCACCTTCTGGTGGGGATCTGGGGGACAATCTCCTGGAGCTGGTGAGGCACACGAGGAGGTTGGCCCAAGTAGAGCTGCCTGAAGAAGAATTTAAGCGAGTCAGAAAATGCTCTCAGTGTGGGATTGGACCGAAAAAACAGGGCCAGGTAATATCCAGCAGTGTTTCCACTTGGGATGGGGACAGGGAAAGATGCTGTTGTTGTGGCTGGAGGAGGCACACGAAGGAGTGTGGGATGGGGACCACATCTGCTGTGCCCTGAGCTGCTTGTACCCGGTTGCTTTACTGCTCCTGTGCACAGAAATACCTCTTTTAATTCTGCTTACTTCTGGGATATTTTGATAGAAGTGATGGTGTCTGCAAACAGAGAAGAATTTAGGGTCCTCATTAAACTGTGGGGTAAAAGACCAAGAGGTCGCACCAGCCACATTTATCTGGCCCTCCCCAGAAGTTAGGGGTCTGCAAAAAGGCTAAAAGTTTGAATTCTGAAGACTCGCTCAGACCTGCAGGCCAGAGCAATGGCAGTTTAGTCAGGAGGGGCCCCAGCTCCTCTCCCTAAAAGGAGGGACATGGAATGTCAGTAAGCTGTGGAGGAACTTGCTGGCTCAGAAGTCACTGTCACTGCTCAGCAGCTGAGGCAAAGCAGCTGGTAACTGGTGGGAGGTCTCAAGGAGATTGATCCAGCTCTCAAGAGTGTTGTGCATTTTAACTTGGACCACTCAGCTCATGCAAGGATTGCTTGGATGATGTGCTCACCAAAACATGTTACTTCTGATTGATTGAGATATCTTCCTCTCCAGTAATGGCTGCAAGTAATGGAAACAAAAGCTCTTTTTCTCCATCAGCAACCAGACTCAGAGGAGCTGTGATGATATACCCAAATATTGGCCTTATAGCATAGGAACAGGGTAGCTGTGAGTGGCAGGAACAGAGCATGAGAAAAGGGAGGTGAGGGGACCTGAGTTCACGATGCAGATCGTATCATGCAGTACTCACCACTGTGGGAAATGTTCCCGTGACAGAAGATGACTGCTTCATGTAAAAGACATAAATAAGCAGTGGTGAACAAAGATGAAGGACCCATGACTTCTTCCAGACAATACCAGAAACCACTAGGATGAAGTTTTTCTTCCTCTTGCAGTTTCTTTATGTGCCGATGAACAGAGAATCTCCAATGTTGCAGATAACAGGACTTCTTCTAAATGTCCTAGCGCCCAGCTTCAATGGGTTAGTGAAGAGTACCTCCTGGGACACAAGTTTGAAACCTTTCAGGCTGACAGGACTGTAGTTTCTAGCCAGTCTGAGGCATGTCCTGTGAGATGACAGGATATAACCTCTCATTTTTCCTCTTATTTCATTAACTACTTCCCTGGCTCAACTTTGTTTTCATTTGTGCCCCACAACCCTTGATAATCATCCATTTGCAATGAATTCTTTGT